GTTTAAGATCATTCCATGAGTTTAAGAAAGAAAGGAACTAAGATCACCAAGAAATAAAAATGATTTTACAAACAACATTCTTTCTTGGGTTTTATGATCTTCTATGCTCCATCTTCTTGCCTCTTCTTCTTTTTCTTCTTTTCTTCTTTTTCTTCTCCTCTTTCTCCCAAGAGATCAAATGAGTTCCTGCACACAACAAATATTTCTCTCATATCTCTCATTTTGCCTAGGAGCCTTTTCAGGTTTTCATCCTAGCACCTCTTTTTGTTTTTCCATCCTCACTAACTCACTCATTTTTTTATAAGCCATTTTTGCTTAGATTGCCCATTCTTGGGTTTTCAACCTAACTAGCATTTCTTTTCTTTTTATTTTTTTTTATATATTTTTTTGTTTACAAGGAGTAAAAGAAAATTCATGCATAGTGTAGGGTAGAAAATAAAATTACATACCATGAGGAGTCTCCCCCCTTCTCAGTCCGAGCACTGTCCCTAGTGCCCACCTTCGCCGCCATAGTAGCCGCCTCCAAAGCCGCTTCCAAAACCGCCTCCAAAGCCCCCGTCGCCCATATGAGCATCTCCACCGTCCCTGCCATCATAATCTCCACCCCCGGAGCTAGATCCTCCAAAGTGACCCCATTGAGTGGGGTCATACCAAGATGGGGGTGGGGGTGGTTGAGCCATAGTGTGAAAAGATCCTTGATGGGCCATGTAAGAGTACATAGGTCCATAGAACCTACGTTGATCTTCTTCGTACCTGCGGTTGTCTTCGGCCCGTTGCTCTTCAAGTCTTTGAAATCCTGCTTGTTGTTCCTCCCGATACTTTCCAACTTCATTGGTCACTTTGTTGAACCCATCAAGTAGTTGTTGGAAGTAATCGGGTGGTGGAGGGACTTGGTTTTCGGGGGGAATGTGGTGAAGTAAAGCCTCGGGTTCATGTTGCTCGGCTTGAGGTTCTTGGTTCGGTTGGTTTTCGGGGGGATTTTGGGCTTGAGGTTCTTGTAGGTGTGGTGGGAGGAGGTGTGGGAACATGTAATGGGGCACATCTCTATTGTAATGGAGTTTGGGGAGGTCTGGGTTAGGCAAGGGGTAATGTTTCACAGGTTTAGGGTGTATGAGCCAATTGTATACATGTCGGGGTTGGTCTTCCCCATACACCGTGTGAGAAAAAGTAGCACAACCCGAGTTGCCTAACCAAGTGATGTTCATCAAACAATAGTCAGGTATAGGAGAGTTGTCCATATACCCAAACTTTGTTGCTAAGTGCATAATCACCCCACCCAATACAATTGGGCCTTTAGCAAAGGTTTCTTTCTTGAGGTGTGCCCACATCAAATTACACAGATTAAAATCCACAGCACGACGGAATAAAACCGTGGTCATCAAACACACATCCCCCATCCTAGTGTGATGGTTGTTGGGGCGCCCAAGTATACAATTAGCCAAAAATTTTAAAAATATCCTTAGAATTGGATGGTGAACATGGCTTATTGTAACACCCCCATTTTCCCTCCCAGAATAATACTTGACATAATAGATTTATTGATAATAAACTTGATTTATTCTTTCAAAACAGATAAAAAGTTTTGCAGCGGAAATAACACTAATTGGGAAATGGGTGTTACCGCCACATCCGGTCATCTCTTAACCGAATGCACAGGCAATCACAAAGCTAAACAAAGTAAAACAAGTGTTCAACATAATTAAATTATAATTCTTGACTAGGTTTGACTAAGGCATCTCTAAACCGCTCTCGGGAATCAAGCAATCATCAGTCAACATAAGCATCATCACCTGCACAAATAAAGTGCAGAAAACAACACAAAGGAAAGAAAACAAAAATTAGCTTTAGAGCTAAGTAAGTACTACCCAACCCCGTAAAATAATCAGGTTTGGCGAAAAATAGTTTTTCATATAATACTATATAAAAATGACACACTCCACCAAAATTCTTTTCTCTTTGATATTTCTCAAAATCACTTCTTTAATAAAGTCCTCAACTTTTCTTTGAAAATACCATAGTAACTCTTCTCTTAGAATTTCTCAAAGTTCACTTCTTCTCTATCTTCCTAGTAATTTAGAAGGGCGGTGCTCAACACTGGTTGAGCCCGGTGGTTACGTTGTTATGTACGGCCACCCCGGGACTTTTGCCGGTACCACAACTGCTAATGGAAACGAAACGACTACCTTAAGTGTGCACACCCCCTAAAAGGGATTCCAAGCCCTCCGAGTAGTAAGTCGTCACGAGTAATCGGGACTCAGTCTACCAACTACCCCACCTTTAAAATTCTTGAGTGATTAGGGACTACTACTACTATAACTTCTTCTTAAAAGGGATCATAGATCCAAACGTCACTTCAAACTCAAACTGTACTTCTTAGTAGTAGTAGCCTTAATCACCCTCCACATTTATCCGGATGTGGAAAACCGACACCACGGATTTCTCCCGGGTGCTCACTTCTTATGAAAACGTAAATTTTATCTTGACTTTAGATATACTTCCAAAAATATTTCTCAATCTCTCTAAATAGTCTCAAAGGTATTTAAAAATATTAAATACCCAAAAGTATTTCGTTTGCACTTCTCAAACACCATAGATCTAATATCTCCTCAAAATCACATACACATAATTCAAAATTCACACTTAATCACATAATGCATAATAAGCATATAATACGAGGAAACAATTTTGGATCGGCAGAGAAACTTACCTTAAATCCGGTGTTCTTAATTCTCTTCCTCTATTCCAGTCTCTAAATAATAATCACCCTATTAATTACAATTTCATAATTATATAGTCTACTACTCTACTGTTATTAACTTACCCAATATAACCCACCTTTATTTATAAAACTCCAACTTTTAATATTCCCAATAATCAACTTTATTCATAAAAAATAGTCAATCCAATTTTATCAATTAGTCGACGTATAATATATTTTGTTGATAGTTGTTCACTTCAATTCAATCTATAAGGTTAAAGTTTATTTATGAATATCCAGTTATTAATATCAACAAATTAGTCGGTCCAACAATTTATTTAACTTTTGTTATTAATTTACTTTTTAATTTTAATTGATACACATTAACCTTCAAAACAATTATTCTAACTTTGGATCTAATATTGCCGTTTCATGATCAAGAAAGCTAATTTAGTGACTTTTGAAAATATGGGAGTTGGAAATTCCAGTTTACTAGAAATGGGTTTTAATCTCTCAATTAGCCAGATTAATAAAATTGCTAATTAATCCAATCTTACAATTACGTTAATATTACTATTGAATTAATGTATTCTGCTCCTAACCCCAATACGGAGTATGATTGTTCTCTCTATTTTTATTATGATTATAACACCATTATTTTTATAACTGGCCCAACCCAACTAAGCTTTATTAAAGTTATAAGTTAAGAAACAGTGGCGGACGACTTACTATACGTACGTCTTCTTCAGCATGACCGGCGAACAGGGAAAGGATCGGAAAGGGCTCCGGCAACTCAGCTTCTTTCTCCTCCTGCGTGAACAGCAGTCCGGCGAAACTCCGGTGCGGCGATGCGTTGTGCGGTGGTAACGGCTCCGACTCGACCCTCCTTTCCTCCCTTTATTCCGGCGTCCAGGTGTAACTCGTAGGTGTATGTATACATGTGTGTGTTTATGGTTTCGCAGCTCAGCTTTTGGAGTGTGAAGAATTTGGATCTAAAGGTCGGGTAGTTATACGCTTTAATTAATCTGCATGTTCTAGGCTTTGTGTATCTTTGGCTTCATGCAATCATACACATGTGAGTTGGAGTGGGAGGCATGTGTTAATGCTGGTCGTTGGTCTTGCAAAGATGGCAGGTGAGGGCTATTCATATTTGTTTTATCTTGCAGGGGTTATATTATTGCAACTCCCTTATTTATGTATACATTATTAGTATTGAGGTACATATTATTATTAGGTACTTGGTATATACTATACATATGCATGCATTATGGGTTATATGTATGTGCGTCGGCTGCTCTTTTAATTTGGAACGAGTGTATGTGTATGGTTCAGTCCGCAAGTTGTATCAATGTATCATTGTGAATAGATACATTGCATATTAATATTACTACTTGTATTTTATTATTGATATGTACGAAGTGTGTAGATAACCATTTCAGTACATTTGAAAAGTCTAACTCTTTTATTATTACTCCCTATTATTTTGGAGTATTTTTGTACACATTTTATTACCAGACACTTTTAAATTGAAATTGTTAAAATGTCACTTTTATTATTTATATCACATGTGCAATTATCACTTGTTACGAAAACAGTCAATTTTGTTATTTAAGTCAAGGTCCTATCTCATCAACTTAATTATTACAAAAACGTCACTTTTATTATTGGAGCATATTTATCTGATTAAAATGTCATTGATGTTAAAACTTTATCTGATTCGCTTAATTATTAATATGTCACTTTCGTAACATTTTCTCTAATCAATAAAATTTATATATATATTTTTTTTTTAAATTTTCGGAGTGTCACATTCTACCCTCCTTAAAAGATGCTTCGTCCCGAAGCATAAGTTAAAAAAATTATCCACTAACAGTTATCCCATCTTAATTTATATTAAATTCTTTTTATTAAATTTTCGGAGTGTCACACTTATGTATAGTTGGGAGGAGCTGAAGTTCACCTCTCCGGTCATTTTGGTCCAAAGTGCATGACCCATCACGGTGTTGTCCGAAATCTCTCTCTCGTAGGGGACGGGAATGCCAAAATGTTCGGCAAAATCAAGTTTCGTTATTGAATATTCTTGGTTTAGCAAACGAAACGAGAGTGTATCATCCCTAAGATCATCCTCGTTGCTCTCAAAACTAGCCGAACTTATGAACTCATAGATAATTCTTTCATTTGAGTTGTATTTCATATTGAAAATAAGGTCCATATTCAACTCATGAAAGAATTTTCTAGTACTCTTAAGAATGCCTAAATCACGAAGAGCTTTATGGCAAAGAAAACGGGATGGTTTGACTTGCCTTGAAATTGTGGCGAGAATTCGAGCCCGTTGTTCGGTATCGGTGAAATGAAAGTCCTCGTAGCCCGGGATGGGTGCCATGGCATTTGAGCTTTCTCCCCTATTCTTTCTTGGAGCCATTGTTGGTGTTTTTGAGCTTTGAAAATTCAAAATTCGAAATGGGGGTAAGGTTTGTGGATTTTTTGGAGATTTGGGGAAAAATGGATTTGTGGGTATGGATATGGAGAGGAGAGTGAGGGGAGTATTTTGGTGGTGAAATGGGGTGATTTGGTGGAGGAATGAGGGAGATATGGTAGAGAGAAGGTAGAAAAATGGAGTTTGGGGGAGTTTAGTTCGAGGTTGGGTAGGGTGTTTGGAGAAGATGAAGTGTTTTGGGGTGTGATTTGGGGTTAAATCGCAGGTATACCCGATCGAGTACCCTGATATACCCGATCGGGTATTGCTCTTTTATCTCGTTTCGAGCGTGGTACTCGATCGGGTCTGGGAAGCAGGGGCTGTGGGAAACTGTTTTTCCAGTGATACCCGATCGAGTATAGAAGTGTACTCGATCGGGTCTTCAAGACAGGGGTCTGGTAGAGTTGATTTTCCAGACATACTCGACCGAGTATGTAATAGTACTCGATCGAGTATGCCTCCAGCTGCACAAAACCTGCATTTTTTTTTCTTTTCTTCTCCAAAAAATATGTGGTTAGTTCCCTCTCTCCCTTTTCTCTCAAATTCACACAAAAAAAATAAAAAATAAAAATCTAAATACCTGACTTGGGTTGCCTCCCAAGAAGCGCCTTATTTAACGTCGTGGCACGACGTTTTTTATTTTATTTTCTCTTTTAAGTGGGATCATGAACATCCCTTGGTTCATTTCTTTTCTTCAGCCTTTTCCAGTAAGGCCGACCTTTCTTCTTTGTTCCCAACTCAATTAAAACATTTGGTGTTGGTGGTTCAAAAACATTTAAAGAACAAAGAGATTGATCTTTAATTTTTTTTTTCTCGTAGAGTCAAAGATATTGAACTCTACTTTTTGGTCATTGAACTCTAAAGTTAATGAACCACTAGACACGTTAATTTTTGTTTTTGCGGTCTTTAAGAAGGGTCTTCCCAAAAGGATGAGTGCTGTTTGGTCATCATTCCCCATTTCGAGGACGTAGAAGTCGACGGGAAAAACCATATTCTCTACTTCTACTAGCACATCTTCTAATACACCCTTCGGGTAAGTACTAGAACGATCTGCTAGTTGAATCACTACACCGGTTTGATGTAGTGGGCCGAGTTGTAGGGTTTTATAAACGGAATAAGGAATGACGTTTATAGATGCCCCTAAATCTAATAAGGCCTTAGGAAATGTGGTGTTTCCTATCGTGCAAGGAATAGTGAACATGCCTGGGTCGCTACATTTTTTTGGAAGTTTTTCCTGAAATATGGCCGAGACATGCTCACTAACTTCAACCTTTTGTTTCCCCTTTAATTTATCTTTTCTTTTCATTATACATAGTTCTTTTAAGAACTTTGCATCACGGGGAACACTTTTGATTAGTTTAAAGAGTGGGATATTTACCTCACAATTCGCGAAGGTTTCATAGATGTCCCGATCACTCTCTAGTTTCCTTGTGTCTTTCAATGCCTCAGGGAATGGAGGGATTGGTTCATATGATGACAGCGGAGGAAATTTTGTCTTCGTTGGCTCCTCCTCCTTGTGGTCAACCTCCTCTTTTTCACTTTCCTTTGCTTGTAATTCCGGGCTACTCCTTAGCATGATGGCATTGACTTGTTGCCTTGGGTTCTGCTCAGTTTGGGAGGGAAGCCTACCTGAATCTCTTGCTTCAAGTCGATTTACAGCATTCGAAATTTGGCTAACTTGAGTTTCCAAATTTTGAATGCTTGACTTTGTTTCTTGTTGAAATTGCACCACGTTTTGTTGTAAGGTGCCCATGGTAGTAGCAAGAGTTCGAATCATGTCTTCCGTAGACATACTCGATTGAGAAGGTGGGTTGGCTTGTTGAGGGTTTCCATACCTCAGGTTTGGATGATCCCTCAATCCGGGATTGTAAGAATTTGAGAACGGGTCGTACCTTCTTTGTTGGTGGCCTTGGAAATCCAAGGCGTTAACTTGCTCTGTGGTGTCTTCTTGAAGAGTTGGGCATGAGTCCGTGGGATGCCCTTGTTGTGTACAGATACCGCAGACCTTGACTTCTTGGGTCTTGGATTTTAAAAGGAAATCCTTAACCAAAGAAGTCAAGCCGGTCACTTGACTTGTCAAGCCGTTCACTTGACTTTCCAACGCGTTGTTGGATTCTGCCGCCATAACCCTCCGAGTTGAGGACCGCCCGTTATAGTGTCTGGAGTTCTCGGCCAACTCCGAGATGAGATCTCTCGCTTGTGAAGGGGTTTTGTTGACAATGCCCCCTCCACACGCCGCATTCACCATGCGACGATCTTGATCCACAAGACCATCATAGAAGTAGAGGATGAGGTCTTGTTCGGTGTATCCGTGATAGGGGCAACTTGCACATAGCTTCTTGAATCTCTCCCAATATTCATATAGGGATTCATCATCTTTTTGTTCGATGTTGCTTATTTGCTTCTTGAGTGATGATGAAATAGAAGCGGGGTAGTACCTGTCAAGAAAGGCCTTCTTCATTTGTGGCCATGTAATGATACTTCCCGAAGGGAGATAGAAAAGCCAATCCTTCGCGGTGTCCTTTAAGGAGAATGGGAAGGCTCTCAGCTTGATCTGCTCTTCGGAGACACCATTGGGGCACATGCTTGTGCACACAATGTGGAACTCCGACAGGTGTTTGTTTGGATCCTCCCCTCGTAAGCCATGGAATGATGGAAGGAGATGAATGAGCCCAGATTTTAGCTCAAAGGTGACCCCCGTATCCAGAGTTGGAAAAGTGATACATAGGGGCTGTTGATCTAGATTCGGAGCCGTGAGCTCCCTCAATGTTCTCGTTTCATGAGCCATAGTAATTGGCATCTTCAGTCTCGCTAGATTGAGAACTAGCACTTGATGATTCCTCCGAAGAAGTATTCGGAAATAAATTCCTAAACCTTTCAAAGGCTTGTTCCGTTTGGGGGTTTGTTTGGTAGAGGATTTCGTTTATAGATCAGGTTCTTACCATATACTCAAACAAGCTCAGAAGAAATAGAAATCTTTATACTTCAACTATTTTTTTTTCTTTTTCTTTAAAATAAAATAAAAAGAAAAATTAATTGCCTTTCCCCGGCAACGGCGCCAAATTTGACGTGCACTTTGTCGTGATGTGCACTCAAAATAAATAATACAATACAACACTTATACGTAGTATAGCGTAGTAAGGTTCGTATCCGCAGGGAAAGGAATACTTCTCTTTTTATAACTAGTAATAAGGGGGGTGGGGGTTAGATTTGTTTTTGAAGAACTTTTTATTATATTTAAACACGAAGATGAACGAGTTATGTGGTTTAATTAATGAGAAGAAGACTTGGTTTTGCTTTTATCCACTTAATGAAAGTCGATCCCGGTTATATCTTTAACTATCTTCCTCTCGAATACTCAATCGAGGAGTATATCCAATTCATCGAGGGTAGTTATTAATAACGAGAAGCGTTCATTAATAAAACTTACTACCGAGTCAATATAGAACAAGCGCCGTATATTAACTTGATAGTAGCAATAAAATCAAGATGAAAACGATTGAGATTGATAACCTCAACACAAGCGGTTTATTGATTTAATCAATATAATTAATTCCCCTTGGCTTATTAACCATGAGAAGCATGTATTAACAACCCAATGCAAGTTTACTACCGTGAAAGGGCCGAATTAATAACAAGCGTATTAACCGTCCGATTCTAGTAATAATTAATATATAGAACAAGACTAGTTGATACTTTAAGTAATGCTCAATATATTAATATGGAATAAGAATAGGAAGTAATTAATATTCAAGGAAGAAGATTAAAGAAAATAACTCACAACTTACAAATCATTAAGCTTCAAAGTAGCAAAACCAAGATGGAAGAGTTTAGCTCCTCATTTGGAGACTAAACATGATGAAAAATATAAAGAGAGAACTTGTCTAAACTGAGCTAAGAAGTATATGTGAATTGGTGTCTGAAAGTGAAGGAAAAGAGGTGTATTTATAGGCTTTTTTGAGGTGCAGGTCGGGTACTCGATCGAGTATATACATATACTCGATCGAGTATGTGTAGAATGGTGAATTTTGAGCCATACTCGACCGAAGTCGGGTTGAAATTTATATGTATACCCGATCGAGTATGTCGGTGTACTCGATCGGGTATGACAATAGAACGTGGCCAAATCTTTCCTTGCATGTTCCTTTGTTCCCGGATCGGATCCTTGAAAATCAGTATTGGTACTCGATCGAGTATAAGGTATACTCGACCGAGTACAGGTCAAAATCAGGAACTTTCCTTCTTTTTGTCTTGTACTCTTGCACCTTCCTTCACCAATGATCATTTGATTGATCTTGGACCTGTTTAAGCTCAGAATAAACCTAATCTAAACAATTTACAAGAATTTAATAAACTAAACTATTACACCAAAAGTGTGTAATTTCCGAAATATTAAACAACCAAAACTAACTAAAAACGTAAATAAACACACGGAAATTACAAGCGTATCAACCTTCCAGATCTACCGTTGTAGAGACGGGATTTACCGGGTGAGGAGATGACGGTTCGAATCCACCGAGTATGGAAGGAGGTTTAATGGATCCACCAACCAAATCTTCCAGACCCATTAAAAGTGAGAACAACAACAATGGTGAGGGCGGATGTAGTTGGAATGAAGGGTGGGGATGGAGGTGGTTACGAATTTACCGGGAAGGGCGAGGACGCTAGTGAGCTTAAGAAAGGGAAGGAAACGATGAAGGGAGAGGACGTGATAGATGGTTCAGAGAGAGAGAGAGTCAAAATGAGTGTAAATGAGCTAGACGCTAAAAAAAAGTAGATTCTCTGGTATCCATAAGGTAGGGCTCGGAAAAAACTCCCGACTCCCGACTCCCGATCCCGACAATCCCGATCCCGACGATCCCGATCTTGACTAGTCGGGAATATTTCCCAATCCCGACTAAGTCGGGACGGGACCGGGAATTTTTTTTTTTAAACTCGGGATCGGGAAAATCCCGACATCCCGACACTATATATATATAATATAGAAATATATATATATATATATAAAAATAATATACATATATATATAGAAATATATATACACATGTATATAATTATATATGAATATATAAAAAATGAATATAAATTTATAAAAAATGAATATGTATCTAAATATTTGCATATCTTTTTAATTACTTATTCCTTACATAGATTAATTTTTTACTACGAGTATCTTACAATATCAATCTTCTAAAACTA